GGCATCGGGGCCTTGCGCGATTCCTCAGCGGGCGCCCCCGCACTGGCGGATGCGGCGGGTCACCCCGCGCCCCCGGGAAAGGGTATGTCTTGCGGGGCCTATCTCTTGGCCCGCAGAGTGCCGCGCCCTGAATCTTAGCCCCGTTTTTACAATCCAACTGATATCGCCCATCGAACAGCTTGCCGGACACCTTGCAGGTTATCCATCCAATCTCACTGCTATCGCACGCAACTGTCGCACCTGGTGCCAGGGCCACGCCCTCCGCTACCTCGGCAGAGATGTCTATTTCTGCAGAAGTTGCATCGCTGATGTCGGTCTCGCAAGTGCACCCCGACTCAGCAGGATCGGCGGGGTCAACTGCTGGCGCGCGGACAGCATTGCCACCCTCCTTGTCGACCTAGGATTTGCAATCACCCTCGCGAGAAGAAGAGGCAGAGTCCTCGACTGAACCGCTCGAGGCGATGATCTTCATCGAGGTCCTTCCACTGTTGCTCAACACACCCTGCCTCATGATCAGTGAATGGTTGATAGTTAGATCTGGACTAACATGCTCCAAGAAGATTGCAGGTTGGATCTACCCTGCGCCCAAGACCGCCCCCATGGGACCAGACCCACGGGGCCAGCTCAAAAGTGGGGCCCCCTGAAGGACGCACCATCGGACAGTTTGGTCCGCGATCCGCCAAATGCTCGAGGCCGCAGACCTGTCCTCGATACTCTTGTCGGTCCATAATGATGGTCCTTTTTTCCGTCCCTCTTGTCCAACGCGGCGGCCGTCTCGGAACCACACCCTTTGCTGGAATGGGCAATTTTGCCGCGATCATCCCGCGACACCTGGCGCTGCGAAAACCAGCGGCGCATGGCGCGCTCGGTGCAACCTCGGCCAAGCCACTACTGCGCGTCTGCTGCCGACGCATCACGGCGGGCAAGCGCATGGCCCTCGCGACTGACAAGTCGGCGTCGGCGAGGGCCATTGGGTTCACCGGGGCCATCGCCGTCCTGAGGCGGATTTCCCCGCGAACGCCCCTTTCTGGGCGGAGTCGCTGGATTCCTCCGATCAGGCATTCGCGGGCGCCGTGCCACTAGAACGGGCGCGCGAATGCATGCGCGAGCGACTCCGCCCACGACGTCGTGGACGATGGCCCTCAGCTTGCCAATCTTCATCGCCATCATCAGTGCGACGCACTCGCCTACCAACTGGGCGGCTTCTAGACCGATCGCGCAGTACGAACGCGAAATGAGAGCCGTCCTCACGCCCGCGCTCGCAGTGGACACGCTCGGAGAGGTCACCGGCATCACGCGGGTTGCCCCGCAAAGGATCGTCGTCGCAAGGTTCCCCCATCGCAGGGTGCCCAATGACCTGCGGTCGGAGCATCAGTTGGAGCTCCTCCTCCGCGGCTGGCACCGTCGCATCAGAGTCCGCAGGTGCCCCCGCCACATCGCGGTCCGAATCGGCGGGCACGCCGCAATCCTCGGCGAACTCAACACGTGCAGGTTGCCCCACGATAATGCCCGACCAGTCCGCAAGATTGATCTCGTCGTGGCCAACGTAGATCTCGTCGGAGAGCACGTCGGATTAGCTCTGGAGGGACACGCTGGCGCTCAGATACCTCGCGGCTATGAAGTGGGCAGCGGCAGCGGGGTCGTCTTCGGGCTCGGAATACTGAATGTCGGAATACTTCATCTCCCAATCGACACGCTGAACGTCGAAATCGGTTTGAGCCAAACGCATCGCTAGACCCCTGCCCCCCCCATCGCCTCGGGGGCATTCACGACGACAACGTCACGTGCTATGGCAGATATCACATTCCATGGCTTTCCCGCCGGCGTCTTTCGGGTTCCCCCGGCGCCCCCTGCCTTCTCCTGAGGCGCGCCCGTGGCCTCTACCTGCCCCCGGGCACGCCCCCTCATATAGCGGCCCCTTACGGGATACCAAGAGTGCCAGAAAAACTCTGCCGCGTAATCTCCGTCGTTTGTCTTCACCCTCACTTCCTATGATTAAACGCCCTCGCGCCCCCACCTGGCCGGCCGATAGCAAGCCCGCCGCCCCCGCCGTAATTTTTTGAAAAAAAATAAAAATCATTTCTCTCGCCAACACGTCGTCGAGCTGCGAAAAGCGCAACAGGAATGCGGCGGAATGAACGTCGCTTGGGTCTCCGGAAGCGGGCGGGCGAGCCCTACCCATCAAAAAAACTATACGTGGTCAACGTTTTTTCTCGTCAACATGGACTCCCCTGTCGTCGACGCGGCGGAAAAATACAACAGGAATGGGGCGCGGCGCACATCGCGCGCGGACGCCGGGCCAACCCCAGGCGGGCCCCCCCGTCCTACCTGTCAAAAACACTACAACGCCCCTGTCATTTTCTCCTCGCCGGCGCTGCGAATCGCGCTGCGGGGAGGGGGCGCCCCGCGAATTCCCGAGAGGCATTCTCCATTTCCTCCTCAGACCCCCCCCCCATCCACCCCCACCCCGCCCCCCCCTCCCCCATGCGCGGCGGGGGCGAAACGATTGGCGGCGCAACGCGCGCGGCTGGAACGACACACGGCGCACTTCGCGCGCCGACGACGCAACGCGAGGCGCCGGCGCAAGGCGCAGCGCACATCGCGCGCGGTCTTGTCTCTCGTTGACGCTGCTCAACACGCGGCGGAAATAGGACGCAGCTCGCGTCGCGCGCTGAACGTCTAGCCGCCCGCGACATCAGACGAGCGACGGGCGTCGGGCGCGACGCACTTGCCTCGCATGTTGCGGAGGGGCGGGCGGGAGCGGGCGGGGCCCATTGGCTCGCTCGAGCGGGCTAACTTGACCTTTACCTCTACCCATGCCCTTTGACGCAAACGCCCGTCGGACCGCACGTCGTGCCAGAATAACTAGTTTCTTCATGAAGCATCTCCTTCGCCTTTGGCGTTTCTGGTGCCCTAGGGATAACCACTGCGCCTGTTGTCCTTCGGTAAGATACAAGGCATGTCGGGGTAGTCCAGGGCGCCAGCCCCCTCGCCCGGCGAGGCGTCGGCGTCGGTACCGGAGTCAGACTCCGACCCAGCGGGGGGGCCCGCAGAGCCTACGCGGCGGTTGATTGGGCAGCGGCCGCCGTTGCTGACGACCCCTGATAGCCAGCCCAAGAGTCTTGCGACCACGCAGGCTGGCCACCCTGTTGGTTTAGAAAATTGGTGGCCTCAGTGGGTAGTGGATCGTCGTTCCAGACGTTGTTAGCAGGTTGCCCTGCACCAGTGTCGGCACGAAAGGCTTCGGCACGATGACCGCGGCCAAATACACCACCAACGTCGCCAGGGGTTCGCTCAGCAATGAAGGCATGAGACCTCACGCGCTTCTGCAGGAAATCAAACAGCTGCTGAGTCCAGGGCATTTGGTGGCTTAGTGGTTGTAGTAGTTGCTGCGCGCGCGATGTACCAACACCCAGGGCTCTGAACAAGATAAATGTCAGGATCTGGAAGTCGGGAATGGTGAAGCCTGCGGTCTCGACCTCAAAGCGTGCTATCTCCAAGCGGGCTAGCGTCTGGTCGATCCGCTCTCCCGCATAGACGCGAAGTCGATGAGAGCCGTTCCCGAGTTATGTTGGCGCTCCTCCTCTAGATTTTCAAACTTCGCACTGCGGAAGAACATGATGTAGGTGACGCCATCGGTGTGGCGACCACCACTATTCACGCCAAAGTTAATGACTGCGGGGGGTATTTTTTTGGCTATGGTCCTTGCGAATCCTCCCAAACCACGCCGTAGTGCCGCGGCCTGTTGGGAAGGGGTCATGGTGCCTGTGGCCACGTTGATCCAAGCGTGTACCTCGCGAACGATTTCGCGGAAAAGTACGTTACCGGCAGGGCCCCAGTGGGGGCCGGTAGTACGCGCGTCGTCTCCGCCACGGCGCACGCGCCCAACAGCACATCCGATAGCGACCCATAGGAGGCCAAATATGGCAATACCAACCCAGTGGCCTCTTAGGTCGTGGTCGGATGTTTGGGGCAGTGGTTTATGATGCGACGTCGTCGTTAGCCTACGTTGCAGTGGAGGCGGTACAGCATCGCATCGCATGTTGCCACGCACCGCGTCTTCGAAGAACTCTCCAAGTAGATTAAGAGGGTGGATTTCAGGAGTGTAGTAGCGCAGAGAGGTAGGACTCATGTGGGAGACTTCCACGTGAACGGAAGTAGCACTGCAAGTGTCCTTGCGGTTGCGCGTAGATATGTACATTCCTCCGCGCAAACCCAATACACCCTGATGTTCCACCATGTCAGTTGTCAACCAAATAGTGCCGCGGATGGTGACCACCATAGGCCAGCTCCGCTACCAAGTTTGGAAGGGGGGTGGGAGGCCCAACCATATGCTTCGCCTGAGGCGAAGCCCATATTCAACTCTGTTGTACCGTAGTAACGACAGACCCAGGAGTGGGAGATCGTCGCGGGAACGACGGGCCATGTCAAGCGAATATGTTCTCGGTCTCAAGGGAAAGCGGTGTGCCTCACGATGAGGCGCAGTCATAACTTGGCAGCCGGCCGCTTGAGCACAAACGGCCGCGGACAAATGTTCGCTATCTTTCGCCTTTTGCCCCAGCCTCCATTAAAGTAGAGCGACCAGGGCGCCCGGAAAAACAGTAGGAAAAGAAGACGGGAACGAGGACGAGGAGGCCCCAGAGGACGACCGGCAGGTGACGGGGGGCAAAAGGGTAGACGAGGGGCAGTGCGAGCGCGAGGCGCCGGAGCACTGCGAAGAGACACCTCGTCCCAGCCCCTCGCTCCCGCCAGCCCTCCTGGCAGCTTCCCCCCCACACATGCGACGTCCTAATGTCTTCAATACGAAGCCCCTGGAAGTTCCGACCATTTCCCCTGGACCGGTTTTTCATCTTGAATCGTTTTTTGACGGCCCCGAAGCCCCGTACAGGCCCCCTGGGGCCGAAAACGTGCAAAAACCTCCCGTCCTCATTTTTTTGTTGCGCGATCGCGCCTGTGCCCTGGTCTCCTCCCCGGCTCCTGGGCGGCCCCGCCCGGGGTGCCTCCAGTCTCTTTGGCTGGTGGCCGCTCGGCCAGCTGGCGTTCGTCGCCTGGGGCAGGCCGCGGGCGACGGCCGCGGCGGCGAGCCCTGGGGAACCGATGCGCACTTTTTCGTCGGCGGCTGGGCAAAGTCACTGCGCCGGCGATGGGGCGTTGGTAGGTGTACGAATGCGAATTAAACCACCATGCAGGAGGAGGAGCAGGAGGAGGAGGCGCCCGGCGACGGCGGGAGGGAGGAGGAAGCTGGGCCCTCTCAGAGCAGGGCCAGGCGCGCGGCGGGGGCGGCGCTGGGGGGCGGGGACCAGCAGTGGCAGGCTGCACCGGACCGATGCGCACAGGAAGGGGCACCGGCGCGCCTGGCCTTCGCGGGCCCTGGCATGTCGGGGGTTGCCAGGAAGGTTTGTGTTCTTCCCATCGTACGTGAGGACTGCATCCCAGAACGAATTTCGAGCACCCAGAGAAGTACCAACACAGTGTCTGCCCGACACGCTGGCGATGTGTCGACCGAATATCGCCTCGCAGGGCCCAACACGCAAAACCCTCTGGTGTCGGTACATTTTTGGTGTTCGAATCTTTTCTGGTCATCATAAAGGGAGGTGGCCCTGGCACGAGAGGTACCCAGCTTTTCGCTCCATGTTGGACCTCGTGAGAGGTGCTCTCTGGGGGCCTCCTCGGGGCCCCTGGGACGCTTTGGGATGGGGGCAGCTCTGGCAACACGCGAACAAAGTTTATACGCCAGCATGGCCGAGGCCAGGCGGTTCCGTACACCACCGTGGGTCCTGGAGCCTAGGGTGACCAAGGGATTGGCATGGCCAGGCATGGTGGTGTACAGGGCGTCACCTGCGGACGACAGCTCGGGAGGAGCACTCAGACCTCCAGCGTCGTGAAAAATTACTACGGCCGCTTCCTCTTAATTTTGGGCCCTGGGACACGCCGATTTCGGGCCTGGGGGACTGCGAAAAAGGACCCGCGACGAGAGACCGGTCCACGGGACGGGGTCGAAAGCACTGAGGAACACGTCGTGAAAAAAACACAACGTCGGTGACCTGGGCATTACAACAAAGTCTAGACACAAAAATGAAGCACGACTACTTGCGCTTTTGGGGTCAGCTTCGGGCCCCCCACGGATCGATCCAGCCCGAGGAATCAAGCATGAAGGCTGGGTCGAGAGCTCCGCGCATGAGTCTCTCACGACGCAATGATATTCACGACGCCGGATACCAGAGCACACGCATCTTCACACGTCGGATGCCAGAGCACACGTCTTGTGGCCAAGAGAGCCCCAAGACGGCGCCCAAGAGCGCCCCAAGAGCGCCCCAAGAGCGCCCAAAAAGGGGCCCAAAAAGGCGACTTAGGCACTCTAGAATGGCGACGGTAATTAGGGAACCCTCCTTTTTGAGGCCGATGTCCAAGCTGGCCCGAAGAGCGTTCCCAAGACAGAGCACCCCAAGGGGGCCGCAAGATGCGCCCAGACGGCCCCAAGAGGCGCCCAAGATGCCTCCAAGAGTCTCCAATAGGCCCTCAGGAGGCTTCAAGAAGATCCCCGAGGCACCCAAGATACCCCCCTGACATCCTAAGAGACTTCAAAAAAATCCCAAGAAACACCCGAGGAGGCTCTCATGTTCGTCCTTTTCTCCTCCTCCTCCTCCCCCTCCTCCTCCTCCTCCCCCTCTTCCTCTTCCTCCTCCTCCCCTCTCCTCCTCCTCCTCCTCCTCCTCCTCCTCCTCATCATCATCATCATCATCATCATCATCATCATCATCATCATCATCATCATCATAATCATCATCATCCTCGTTATATGCCTAAGTTTCTCCTCCTCCTCCTCCTCCTTTTCCTCCTCCTCCTCCTCCTCCTCCTCCTCCTCCTCCTCCCTCAAGCCATCTCGGCCCGAGCACCAGGCCCTCTTCCCCCGCGGAGAGGCCGCGTGTTCGCGCCGCCTCAGTGCCGTCCCGTGGCGCTTGAGGGAAAGCCACAGTCGAGGGTGCAGCCCAGCCCTCCCGCTTTGGTGGACTGAGGCCGAGGACCAGTCATGAGCCGTCTCTGGTCGACTTGTCAGCACTGTGGGCGACAGGAATATACTGACAAGCTGATTGAACGAGGCCAGACATGTGTTTGTGGCAAAGAAGGTAACTTTCTACAAAAGTAAGAAGAAGCCGCCAAGCTCCGCAGACGAGGGCCAGAATCCTCTCAAGAGCGCGTTACGCAAGTCAGTAGTTCACTTTGCTGATGAGCATGGCGGTCGTGGCAGCGGAGACGGCGGCTCGCGGCTTTCGGCTCCTGGGGGCTCACCTCGCGGTTCAGTGGGCAACCAGAAAGCTCAAGCAGCAGCAGCATCTCACCTTCAGGCAGCGCTCCAGACAGCGCAAGATCCAGATCTTCGGAATTGGCGTTCAGCAGCAGCTCGAGAAGCTCCAAGTGCAGCAAGGTCCCCCTGGGGCCACCAATGTTGTGCAGGCCACGCAGCAGGCCGATGGAGCTTGGAGAGATGCCAAGAACCGCCATCAGCAGGCGGTCACGTCAGTATTGAGATTGGAGAAGAACCTTTCAGCAGCTAGGGAGAAGGAGGCCAAGCTCGCCAAGTTGGTGGCCGAGGCCAGTTTGACGAGGTCTCAGGCGGTAGCAGCGGTGGCGACGCTCGAAGGGGCGTCGCCTTCTTCACGGGCGGAGGCAGCTCCAGCTGTGGAGAAGAAACCGTTCGAGGTCGTCTGGGACGAGGAGCTGTTCAACAACTTAGATCAGCTCGAATGTGAAGAGACCGAACGCGACACCTCACGTAAGTGTTTGGCTGAGCTGCAGGCGCAGAAGGCTTCCATCACCAGCAAGGCGGATGAGGCATCGCAGATTGTCGAGCGGGCCAAATCCACCAGGGCGGCCATCGCCGAGCGCCTGGCCAAGAAGCGCCGTGGCGAAGATGGTGGACTGGCAGCAGGCAGTGGTCCACCAGCAGCACCAGCCGCCCCGTCGCCAGCGCCAGCTGCAGAGGCACCTTCGGCGGAGGAGGCCAAGCAGCAGCAGGCGGAGCAGGAGGCCAAGATTGCAAGCGAGGCGGAGAAGGTCTCGGCCGCGCAGTTCCAGTCGCAGCGGCAGGCGGAGCAGCCAGCACCAAAAGCCGATGCGGCCGCATCGTGAATAGGGACCGCCAGGTCCCACAGCGCGGCCTCCGAGCCGCGAGCCCGCCCCGAGTTGCCAGAGTTATCTGCTGCGTTGTTCGGGAATATCACTTCCATGGGCGACGAGGTCTGGGACTACACCCTGACCGGCTTCAAGGACGGGATTGCAGATGTCATAGCTTTCGCTGAGACTCATGTTCACGTGCCAATTCGAATCCTTGGTTGAAGAAGGCTCGACCCAATCTTAGGTTGCATGCGAACCCAGCTCGGACGACAGGTCGCGCCGTCACACTTCAGGGCCAGGGCCGCGAGACTGAAGGGGGGGAGTGGATTTCCATGCCTGGCCATAGGCAAGCACACTCGTTAGTCCATCAGCTCGATCGGGTGCAAGAGTTCCAGTATGACGGTCAGGTTGCTGTAGACGGTTTCGCCGCGGTGCATATCCATGTCTGGGCATTCGCACGTCGCGGTTTCTTTTCACGCCTGCACTTCGGCGGGCATGGCCAGATCGAACCTCCAGAGGTTGGCCAAACTGGGAGCCTTGTTTTTTGGCCGCGCTGAAACTTCCCCGGTTACTTGTGGGGGATTTGAATATGCATGCGGCCACTCTCGGCAAAGTGTTTTGTCTCTCTCGTGTCGGGGGGCAGCCTGTGCATCCCGGTAGAGAGTGTACCTGCGACGCGGGAAGTCTGGCCCTAATACAGATTTCGCAGTCATCAACGCGGCCAACACCCCGCTTTTTCTTTCCATTTCACAGGTTTTAAGGTCCCGTGGAAAACTCACTGCGGTCTCAGAATTCAGATGAGATCGCCAGGTACAATTAGTCCAGCTGGCCCCTCAGCTTCCGACTAAGCCGCCGCGGGTCGCCAGGCCCACCACTCGCCCCACCGAGGGGCCCAAGTCTAAGGCAGCCAAGGCTCAACGAAGGCTCGAAGCAGAGGCCTTTGCTGAGCGGTGACCCAAGTACGATTCACAACTTTTGGGGGGCGCTCGGGCTCGCGAGGACAGCGAGTGCAGGGCAGCGCGCGAAGTCAGCGCCCCTGCGGATCTCGATGCCCTGTCCGAGGCGCCGTCGGAGGAGGATCCTTGGGCGCAGGAGCTTAACTTGTTCGATGCTCACACCTCGGAATCGCCAGGAGGACTGGATGCGTCGGCTCCGTCGGGGGGCAATTCCCCGCGTCTTCCCGACGACTCTGGGCATGGCCAGCCTGGCCTTGACGGCGCGCCCATCTTGGGCGGGCGATTTCACGTGCCATAGTATGCCCCGTCTGTCGCTTGGGGCCCTGTTAGTGAAGATCGCACATCGCCGTCTCAGAACCTTACAGTAGACCCCACACACACACACACACACACACACACACACACACACACACACCGATTGCGTCGAGCCGCCCCCCTCAAGTATTGTTGATGGAGAGGCCGAACAGAATATGCGCTTCACGTGTCCGACGAAGCACGGGTGAATGCTCGCGCTCAGGTTGGGCCCCCGCCACCGCCGCCGCCTGCCCCTGCCTTTGCTTCCTCGGTAGCCGCGCGGCTCGGATCTGGCTCCGTAGGCCCAGTTTCAGCTCTTCATGGTTCTTGGGTCAAGGCTGCGGAGACAGCGGCGTCCAATCATCACGACATTGCATATTTCGTTCTCAAGGTATGGATTTGTTTCTCAGAAAGCTCGGGCGCCCAATAAAGCACGCATCACTCCATTTTGCAATATTGTTGCGTCTCGGTGGGAACAGCTTTCGGTCGTTTTGGAGCACATTCAGGGACGCAGGTCGAGGGGGAATGGGGTTGTCCAGCGAGAGCAGTTGAGAGTCGCCCTCCGTCACCTATTGGACGAGGCCCCTGATTGGGCCCGCACGGGGATCAGGTTGGGGTCGGAGCCATCCTGGGCAGCGCGGCGCCAGCTCTTACGACGGGGTGCTTCGGTTTCAGCCGTCATG